CCACAAGCTCAAGGGCAGGGAGCGGGGAGTTCGAGGCTAAATGTTCGCCCACTCCTACTGAGGGGGGGGAAGGGACGGACGTTTCATTTAGTCTGACAGGGAGTGATGTAGCCGGCGGCAGTGCACCTGCACTGAGGCCCAAGGGCCAAAGTGGCTGAGGTGCCAGGTTATGAAAACGGGGGAAGACGGGGGGAGTCCCTTTTAAAATACTTGTGCCATGGCCCCTGACAATCGTCCTAGAACACTTCAGCGCGGCGTTCCAGATGTTACACCGGTCGTGGTAAAAGGCCGTTTTTGGAGCGAACACGAAAATCGTCCACGGACATCCAAAGAAGTGGAGGAAGTTTCGATTTAAAGCTTTCGTGACTGCAGGGGTTCATCTTCTTGGTTCTTTCGGTAAAGTCACGTAGAAGGGAAGTAATAAAATAATAAAAATAAAACATAATAAAACAATTCTCCCGACGTTTCGGCCACAACGCAAGCAGCCGTCCTCAGGTGAAAACCAGGTCTGTCGAGGCGACAGCGTCTGGTCTGTCGAGGACGGCTGCTTGCGTTGTGGCCGAAACGTCGTGAGAATTGTTTTATTATGTTTTATATTTATTATTGTATTACTTCCCTTCTACGTGACTTAACCGAAAGAACCAAGAAGAAGTGGAGGAAGGTGTGAAGTAGTCGGAGTGAAGATACCGTAGGGCCTGCGAGCCTCATTATTACAGATTTAATGTGTGTGTTGGGGTCGCTAGCCCCCGAGATCCCTCCCTCGATAATGCTAACCGCCGGGCTAACATCATCAATCGCCCCCCCGCTGCTAAGCGAACCGCTGCTAGGTTCCTCACCCATGGTGTGGGAGCCGTCGCCCGAGGATTCCCCTCCACCGCGGGTCCGCGTAGTAGGCATGGTTGGATACCGCGTAGTATTATGTCCCCCTTTACGCTACCACGATACCTCCCTTTCCTAATCGCGTACCTGCGACCCACACGGAGCGAACGTACGCACACACACACACACCGCTCCGTGCACTCCAACTCCACACTGACTACTCGCGTTATGATCGTGCACCTGTATCACACGCGGAGTGAACACACGCGACACCCACTCTCGCACCGCTCTGCGCAGCGCTCCCCCGAGGCGAGCCGCAGCACTACAGAATCACCGCGTACACACGCTCACCCGCGCGCTCAGCTCCGCGCAGCGCTCACTCACGTGGCGAACCACCGTGCACACAGCGCACCCACACGCTCACACTGCTCGACCAGATCACGCGAGACCACGCTTCGCTATTAATGATTTATTATCTGATACCTGGCAATTTAATGTTAAATCAGTGAGTCGACGAGGCTGGCCTACGCTGATACCTTTATACCTATTCCCGATTTATCTGCTATGATTCCAATTCACCTTCTTACTCTCTGTTGGATGCCCACGGCGGTTCGTTGATCACGTACTCGCAGCGTGCCTCGATGCGTCTCACGGACGTTCGGGTCGCTGGACTGGAGAGCGTCCTGTCGCCTGGCGCTGGAGAGAGAGAGCGATTTTCCCTTTGCGCCCCCGTATTTATCCTCCCTACCTCAAAGGGATGCTGCGCTGCACAATGGGCTCGCGCACCTCGAGCACGCGCACGGCGGTTCCGGGCGCTTTTAATATGCTAATCAGTGAACGGGCGCGGCGTGCGCGGCGTGAATCCTAATTACTCCCTTACCCTTCCTAACAATGGGGCCTGCGCGCTCAAGCGTAATGATCCCACCCTCTATGACTCTCCGCCAGAGCCCCTGCGGTCCCGCTATTCATGCTGTCCCCTCCCTCCTCTGCCTGTCTCGTCGACCCGTGAGGGTGTGTGTGGGGGGAAAATGCGCCTCCACCGCGGTGGCCGAATGCCCCATGCCGCGACCACACCATATTAAGGCTGGTCGCAGCACCGCGACGCAACGTAGCACGGGGGAGGTCGTCCAATTTCCTGATCGCCGGAAACCGTGAGAGTTAACCCCGATAAGGGTTTCTCGGATAAAAACCGGTCGGCCAGGTAACCTCCCCTTCCAGCTCTATGGGTGGGGGAAAATGCGTGCGGGTGTGTCCATGTGAGTTGAGGTGAGGGGGACGCGGGGTTGGCTCCGTTGCTTGGTGGTGGCGAGGTCGGGGATTTGGGCGCCTGCCGAACGGCTTCGTGGCGGCGGCATCACATGTGCACGTACGTATGTTGAACTTCTTTCGCGCCGTACGTAGCCATTCGTGCTAATCGGAGGTGGTTGGAGGATTCATTAATCACGAATTAATAATGAATCCTCTGAACAAATATCATTTAAAGTGTGTCAGACCGCGGAAGCTAAGGGTTTAGCCTAACTAATGCTCATAGAATGCGTTATGGACTGTGGGACTATGCGATGACAAGCCGAGTACAATAAAGTGCAGCAACATCCACTGTTGTATTGTACTTTCATGTGTCTCGGCTTCAACTATATGGTTAAATACCCCCCTCCCGCCTTCGACGCGCATGGCTTAACGTTTGTACATCGCTTTTGAGATCTGACAAGATCAAGAGCATTCTGTATTTATGTATGTTTAACCTCTTTCGCACCGTACGTGGCCGACCGTGCAAATCGGAGGTGCGGGGGAAAGACAACAAACTAAACACAAACAGCATTTCGCAATAAATGAGTTTGTAAATCTAGATGATTTAAAAGTGCATAGCTCCAGTGGCTATCTGGAAGGAAGAGCGTTCTTAAAGTGCGCGATGTAGTGACCGTCTTTGTTCGATGGCTATCCAAAAGTTGAATTATAGTGGTGTGTAGTGTTTTGCATAGTGTATCCTGTAGTGTATATAGCATCTGAAAGCGCGCGATGCAGTGACCGTCTTTATTCGATCGCTATCCAAAAGCCGCTGCTGCGAATATGACCGGAGTTTGCGTGATGATGGTTTATAATCCTTGACGAGATCGGCGAGGTACTGTGGTTCATTTATGGCAAGCACTTTGTATGTGTGTACCATGACTCACCAACATTCATTTAAGGTTGGGTCGGTATGCAGTCAATATTGCCTCAGGGAGATGCTGTTTTCATAGTACTCGTCCCACCCTATCTGACATTTATATACATTTTTACAGCGTCATGCATGTAAGCTACATATCAAAATGCTGGACATTGCACACCAGATGTTTTCATCAATAAAGGGACGGGAACGATCTTGGGTATGGAAGTAAACACAAGACAAACGCGTGGACACACCACAGAGAAAAACAGCACAAATTAATTTTTTTTAAAGTACAGAGGGTAAACAAAAACTAGCGAGACCACAAAAGTTAGACAACACGGACAAACATATAGAGTACCATAGTAAACATCGAACGAACTAAGTGGGGGATATGTGTAAATGCAGATGGCTCCAAACTCAATTTTAGAATCAGAAAATATATTTATACTGGAGGAATCCGATGAGCTATGAAGCTCTTTTCACAGATGTCCAGTAGGGGCACAGGGTAAGAACCTTACAACAACAAACAATAAAAAATAAATTATAGAAGTGTAATTTACAAGCAAGATAAACAAATCACACAAACACATACAAATAAAACTAAACCATCCCCAGCCTAACAGACAAAGCCCACTGAGATATTAACTTGTTTTACGAATCCGACCTGAAAGCTCAACAGAATGGCGTATCATTTGGGCATTTACAGCAGAAAAATCATATAAATAGTCTAAACGTGCGTTTATAAATGTGGAGGGAAAAACCGGAGGACCCGGAGAAAAAAAAATCCATACGGGTGAGAACATGCAAACTCCAAAGATACAGCAGGTGTCAGGGTCGGGATCGAACCCCCGTACTCCTGCAAACTAGGCGAGGTAGTTACCATATCCTAGCCCACTGTAGTGATGATGAGAGAGTCGCAAACTCCAAATATACAGCAGATGTCAGGGTCGGAATCCGGATCGAACCCCCGACATATTGCATAGGGGTCGTCCATAAATGACGTCACGCACCCGGGGGGGGGGGGTCAGACATTTGTGACTATGTGTGACGAGAGGGGTGGGAGGTTTGAGAAATGTGCCGTCACATCAAAATCCGCAACTTTAAATAAATATAGACAACACGTTCTACTTAATGAAATCGATTTTTTTTTTATACATTTTTCTACTACAACATCAGAGTGCAGCGCCACATTAAATACGCACTACAATGACAATAGTTTAAAGCGATTTGAAGCATGTTATTTTTTTGGGGAAGGGGCAGAGCTTTGTAACTTCATATTTGAGGGGGGGTCTGACTTTTTGTGACGCCGTGTGACGAAGGGGGGAGGGGGGTCTAAAATCATCCAAAATCGCGTGACGTCATTTATGGATGGCCCCATACCAGGCGAGGAAGATAACATCACACCACCGTGGCGCCCCTTAACTCAATTTGAGATGAGGAGCCCAGCACCGCGGCTGGGGGTGGAGTCCTCGTAACCCTTCATTATATACATCCCCGACTGAAGCTTCACTGCAATACCTGTGTAGGCGGCCCTTTGTGTAACTTCATCTCAGCCATTGCCGACATCACCCGGGACCCTAAGGGGAAATTCAGTGTGAAACAAGAAGTAGCCACTTTACCAGTCGATGAAAGGGGTGGATGAGCGGAGGGGGGAAAAACTAAAACTTTTATTCAGGCCTCATTCGGTAAGGGGTGCACATTTTTAATACCGCAGAAGTTTGTGCCGGATATCGTGTGCGCTACGCATCTGGCACCAGGGTGACCCTTTGACCCAACAAGGCCCAATGAGTTGGATTTTGACAAAGGGAGTGCAAATAGATGTAGCAAATTCCCCGATGCGGTAAAGAACATTCGTGCCAACAATGCCCAGCTGTGGCAGCTGTCACATGCGTCGGGGGAAATGAAAACCACCGTGAGAGTCTGCAGTCGTGAGGCAGAGCAGCTTAATTATTTTGTGTTGGTTAAGTTGTGCAAGTTATCGCTGCTGGCGAGATTGACGCCATTGGTGTATACAACCACTCCCTTAACTGGTCCCCATAAATATAGCTCAGCTGACGTTCTTGTCGGCACAGAATGTGTAGTATGGCCCATTTTAGAGCAGCAGTGAACCTCTTATTTTTTGCTGTCTATTGTCAAGGTAAGAACGTGTGTTACTTACTACGATTGACACGGAGTGAGAATATATTTCAAAATACACCTTGTAATATATCCGCGAATAAGTAGGCAAAAGCCTGTCACCTTAAATGTACGGGTGTTGAACTTCTTTCGCACCGCACGCAGCCAAACCGTGCTAATCTGCGGTGAAATAATAAACCCACCTTATTTGACTTAGATTTAAATGTGTATTTTGGTACTTCCATGTTATCTTACTGCTACTGTTTCATTCTTTGTAAATGTTTTGTTTTGTTTTAGAAGCATTTGATGATTAAAACTATGCTTATTTTGCTTTTGGCATCACATGTTTATTCATGTTATAAAATTGTTGAAGGTCACCCTTAGTATAACGAAATAAAACTGTGTTTTTCTGATATTTTAGTTGGTTCTTTGCTTCCAATAAAAGAAAATAGACGAAAATGTACGTAGTGTCCTTTCACAGTTTAAATATGCATCGACAATCTTTACAATTGTATGATTAACAGAGATTAATGTGCATGTCCAGCCCTTTGTGAATCTATTGCTGGATGCGGAATATTCCCACGCTGTGTGTGCTGAGGATTATTTTGACCATACTTCATGCTGGTCAGTGTGCGCTGGCAGAGATGGGGAGCAAAGATGTGGGAAACATAGAAATACAATACTGGCGTACCTCGATTTTCGTTTGTGTTTGCATTATTTAAAACCTGAAAATAAAATGAAAAATTGTACCGTACAGGCATACCTTGCCAAACGCGAGGGTTACATTCCTGAACAATTCTGCTTTCGACAAATAATAACCCTTGTGGAAAATATAGGGTAGTGTAACCTAGGTCCCAAATGATTGCACCCTCCTTGTTTGTTTAATCAGTTCTATAAGATGTTTGCCCTTGTTATCGTACTAAAGGATGCCAAGTCGCTCTCCATGTCTCGTGTCTGTGTGTAAAATATTTATCTCAAAATTTTACATCAACACAAAGATCCCGCGTCTCCATTACTCATCCTGCACCACGGTACGCATGCCAAGCGCTGGGAAATTAATAACTAGACGGGTAATTAGGAACAATTATTCTCCACCAGAAACTATGGTGCGCTGTAACAGTATATCATGAATGTGCGACAGAATATAAGGAATATTGGAAAGGGAATCGACCATTTTTTTACAATCCAAAAGGTGGATTAAATGGGAATCAACTGATTTTTAACGATCCAAAGATAGGTCACTGCTCGGTTACTGCTGAAAGACAGAAACATGTATTAGAACTGTCATAGCTTGAACCATGCTCGATTACTGCTCGGACACATAGACACACGTATTCAAAATTTCATAGATCGATTACTGCTCAATTACTGCTCGAACAAATTGACACCTATTCAAAATATTATAATCTTGATATGAAGCTTTTGTGACTGTAGGAATCCATACTCTTTGGTTCTTTCGGTAAAGTCACGTAGGTAGAAAAATAATAAATCACGACGTTTCAATCGCAACACAAGCAACCGTCATCTGGTGAGAAAGAACTGGTGCAACAAGAGGTTATATAAGGTAGGAGGAAAGCTGCTGATACAGGCTACTTCTAAAGGGTAGAAATGGGCATAGCGCAAGAGTCATAAACGGCTGCTGCGCGTGAGACAAGGGGGAGATCGGCGGCTAGCAAACAGAAGACTATCAAACTTCAGCTAATCCGACGGGTGGAGGGAAGGGAAGGGCTGCCATAACGGGCGAGCGGGTGGGGATGCAATTCACATAGGGATCGGCGGCAGGAGGAGAGGGGGTGGGGCAGAGCTAAGAAGGGTCTGCGTGTGAATGTGACTCAGAGAGTCGAGAAAATCTGCTAATATCGGTGGGCAGGAAGGGGACATCACATCCAGTTATGACCTAAACTGGTTAATAACGTCTTTCCAATGATTGCTCAGTTTGTACCAATCTTCTCGGTTGAAATTGTGTCTGTGTTTATATATCTGGATGGGTTCATGGACAAATCTTACATAACCTATTGTTGCAGCAGTTTCTCATCTGATGACGGTTGCTTGTGTTGCGATCAAAACGTCGTGATTTATTATTTTTCTACCTACGTGACTTTTCCAAAAGAACCAAAGAGTACAAAATATTATAGTTTAACACGTAGACTTTCGCGACCAATATCATCCATAATAGGGTTTTTTTTTGGGTTAGATCGCGTAAATATATAAATGTGTCGTTAAAACCCACCACCACCCGACACAGCCAACTAGTAAGGGTTGTCACGTAAACAGAACATGCCAATTCGTTACGAGTACAGCATACCGGTGGGTTGGAGAGCCAAGCCACAACATTCACAATCTGAGTACGACGTTTTGCCAGTAATTACAACTAGCTTCATCAGGTGACAGCCAGATTTGTGGAGAAGTATTCATCGGTGATGTGCTGGACTTCTCCACAGTCGTAGTTGCTCAAACACATAGATGCATACATGTAATCAAAATGGCATAACTCGATTACTTCTCGATCACCGTTCGAACACGTAGACACAAGTATTGAAAATGTCATAGCTCGATTACTACTCAAATACATACACGCAAATATTAAAAATGCCATAGGTCAATTTCTGCTTTTGGTGCTAACAAATTGGCAGGAATTTCTACATACAGGAGCTCTATCTTAACATTCGCACTCATGCCATGGATGCAAAAAAACTCGGATTTCTTTTAATATATATAACTTACATGTAAAAACGATTAATGTTTTTATGACCAACCTTGATTTTGAGCCTCAGGTAGTTTTCCATTCTTAAGCACAAATTACAGAGTGTGGCAGAGGCAATTGGAATGACACAGCTATTTAGAGGTGTGCCCACGCCTAAGCAATTCGTTGCACAGCCAAATATAAAATGCAAGTGATTTGTTCTAACATCTAAGAGTCACAGTATATTATGTACGTTGGGTACTATGCAAACAAAATATATTTCCAAGACACGTCATCCCAGTTGCATTCAATGCGGTATTAGCACCAGTTATTTGCAGGCTCGTCAAGCCCTCATATAGTACCCACACTTTACCATCAACTTGGAAATGAACTCGGGTCCTGGCAATTTTCACAAAAGGGTTGATCCCGTCTCGTTATAGGTTTATTAAGTGCCCTATCGCCTTGACGTCATGACAATGGAAAGTGTTGGAATGGACAGTGTGATAAACTTTATGCTCTACCATTACCGGGATTCATCAATTCTTAGTGACCATCTGCATAGGTCGCATCATGCACGATCTAAAGGTGACCTGTGAGCTTATTTTAACTCATGTTTGAAGTTCGAGCGTTGAAAGTCTTTAACAGTCCATGATCATAGTTATTACATTATGAAAGCAATTTATCGTGTCTGGCATCCAGTACAAATGTCCAAGCTATCATCATTTGGTATCTATTCTAATCTGCATTCTTTGATTTCTAGATTTCTAACTGATAGATATATATGGGTAGTCGATGTTAGCAAATCTGATACTGGAACCATGAACTCTGGCATTCTGCAAGGATCTCGTTGTAATTACCGGCGAAATGTCATAATCGGCGTGCTGAACTCGTTACTAATTGGCACGTTTTGCTTACGTGACAAATCTTACAAATTGGATTTGTCGGGTGGAAACGAGTTTAAGGACACATTTATATTTACATGATCGAACAAAACAAACTCTATTATGGATAAAATTGGTCGTGAAAGCCTATGTGTTTAAAAGGATCTGTTTTGTCTACAACATAATTTATTCTCTTATTAATGAACTATGTTGTTGGGGGTCGCCAACAACATAGTATGTGGTTGTGCGGGGGCGCCATAGGTGGCCCCAAACAACCACAGCTTGCGACGCCCCCCAACAACCACAGCATGCGGCGGCCCCCAACAGACTGGTCAAGTAAATCCTTATGATTGTGCGGTGGGCCTTCATCCAGCAGTGGATTTAATCACAACAAAAACTCCAGTACTAATGTAATGGACAGAGCACGGCTCTGCCTGAGGGCAGCAGTGGAGAGAGCGCGTCTGGCTCCTTCAAGGCAGCAGTGGAGACAGCACAGCTCTCCATCTAAACCAGCATGTGGAGAGGACGGGGGTCCCTCAGGGCAACAGTGGACGGAGCACGGCTCTGCCTCACTCTCACTCACCTGTCTCCTCACTGTCACTCACCCGTCTCCTCACTCTCACTCACCCTTCTCCTCACTCTCACTCACCCTTCTCCTCACTCACCCGGCTGTTTTCTCGCAGTCACGTGACGCACTTTAACCAATCCGTGCCGCGTTGATCACAGAATGAAAGAACTGGGTGTTTATACATTAGTATTAATTTCCTTCCATAAGAATATAATCCATCCTTTTTCAAAGTTACGGCTAACTTCAAACATTTCTACTTAGCGAATACTTTTACAAGCGTTGTGACATTGAATGAGACACTGGAGCGCGTGCCGCAGGGAGATTGGTAGACAATGGAATTAGGGGTAGCAACCCGTTCTACCAGTTTCACCTGTGGGCAAGACATGGAGCCTTCTGGGAGGTCCAGAGGGATGCGGGGCCGAGGGCAGAGCCTGGCCACGCTGGGCAACATAAAAGGCGAGCTCAGACTCACAGTTGAGGCTGCTGCGATCTGGAATGGAACTCGTCGTGCCGTCGGCGTCGGCGTGATCTTCTACCTCTTCAAGGTGTGGGTCTGGCAACATGTTAGCTGTCCAGACCCGGTATGTAGTTATCCCCGAAGGCTGTGACGGCAGGAATTAAAGAGAGAACCTCCTGCTAGTGTCTGTGAATTAGTACACTACACATGTGACCGTCATACAGTATGAGCGCCATATATGCAAGACAAGTAAATGCCTCGCACATAGATCCACAGACTCACTACACAGAGACATTATAACTTTGATGTTATTTGTTGCTGGCCATTTGACGTTTTGGCCCCGTTCTCAGCAACTTTGTAAGACGATGGCTCTCGTACGCGTTCAACTTAATTGACTGCAACTGTTTTGTACAAATCTAAGCGTGTAGGTCTGCAACAGGTATGTAGTAATTGGACATGGCAAACGTGTTTGAACACGTCCTCTAAAGCATAGCCCTGCAAATGTTCTGGTTAGCTCCACGTTAGGAATTAGCCAGACCGTAGCGGTGCACCTCCGATTGTCACCGTTTGCTGTGTATGGCAAGAAATAAGTTCAACACACACATACATAAATATATGAACGCCTGTGAACCAACACTATGAAGGCACGGCTTGGTGGATCGCACAAATGTTTTGAAACTCTCTTCACGTGCGTCTCGAGGTTGCCACACCTTGGATTGCCAGGAGTACCCAGTACAACTAATTTGTGGACTCCATGTGGTTCCCTCGATGGGATTGTTTCCACCTCGCACGCGTGAGTTTTCTCCAGGTGCTCTGGTTTCCTCCCACATAAATACTAATTACAGGTAATTGGCTGATAAAACCTTAATATATAGAGAGGACCTCGGAGGTCAGGCAATTGTTAGGCGCTAGCTCACCACGTCAGAATCAGAAACTTTATTTACACTGGAGGAGGAATCCGATTAACTATAAAGCTCGTTTTCACATATGTCCAATTAGGTCAGCAAGTTGCAACAACAAACACAATACTCACAAACACGATAGGAGTGAAATTAAATGGTAAGTCGCGCCTCTGAGTCGTCCTTTCTCTTCGAGAGAGAGTGAATAGTGTGTGCACCGGTAGCTGAAATCATGATTTTTTACATTTAACACGTAGGCTTTTGCTGTCAATATTATCCATAATATTACGGCAGTTATCACGTGTGCACGTCCTCAAATACGTCGCTCCATATCGGCGTGCAAATCGCTTGAAAGTAGAAGTTTGCTTTTTACCGTAAAACGATTGGTCGCACGACTGTTCGTAACTGGTTGCGTAAATACATATTTGAAGTCGCGTGTAAACAGGTTTGCACAACTGATCGCTCAGGCAACCTTTATAGTCAAGGGGATTTACGCTCCACCCCGCAGAGGAATGGTTCCATATTCTTGGGTCTTTAGATAAAAACACTTAAATAGGTTTAAAGAAAATAACAAAAAATAACTACGACGTTTCGACCACAGCACAAGCGATCGTCATCGTCGCTTGTGTTGTGGTCGAAACATCGTAGTTTTTTATTTTGTTATTTTCTTTGAACCTATCTACGTGACTTTACCAAAAGACCCAAAGAATATTAATTTCTGCAGTCACGAAAGCTTTAAGTCGTGGAATGGTTCCGTTTCGCATTTTTTTTAGGTGACCGATTTAAGTTCTATTTGAAAATGGCTTCCTGTTCCAGCCAAAAAAAAACTCCTTTGGATATGCTCATGAGACCAAGCCTTTTCTTACTCAAACAAACACTTCTTGATAATATTGGACAGAAAAGCAAAGAGGCTAATATAAATGTGTTCTTTGACCGATATATTTCCACAGCAACTCCTAACGGGTGTGTGCATACCAATGTTTCAGTAGCATCTTTAACTACTAGAGAGAATTGTATTACTATCCCGAGAATGCGGTAGTTATTAAAATTTAGTAATAATTGTATCAGTTATGTATTTGAACCTCATGGCGGGACCTCGGGGTCCCATAAGCCCCCGGCTCTCGCATAAACTGCGTTGCGACGTCCTTTTGTCTGTTGAAGGCGAACGATATGGCAATCTATTCCTCTCAACGATCTCTACACGATGCGCTAATCAAAGTTTCAAAGTTTTGTTTCTTCTGCGCATTTGTCCTCGCTGCGCTTGGACGACATGACAACACAATAATCTGTGCCAGGTGGGTCGCGGCGTTTATGTGCGCGGTGGGACGGAGTCGCCAAAAATTACTCAATTACGATTTTGACTGCCGTTTATTTGGGACCCCAGGGTCCCGCCTTAAGGTTCATTTGTTGTTGTTGTCGTCTACGTCTGTTCTGACAGATGGCGTGCTATCTGCACCGCTCAGCTACTCTGTGCCACAAGGGCAGGCGCTCGGAGACACCCCACTCCGTGACGATGGCTACTCTGGTGGAGAGAGCGACGGCGGGGGGATGCTGTCGGGGGGTCGTGGACAACTACTGGATGGAGTCATCGGGCACAGCGACTGGCAGGAGAATGCAGGGCTAGAGTGGATTGGCTGGAATGGCTCCCAGGCAGTGTCTATTACATTCCAGTTTGAAGGTAATTGGTTGTGTAATGGTTGGCACGTGACGTGGAAATTACGATGTCATGGGATCGTATGATCTGTAATAATACGTTGTCACGCCAACAAATACGATGTATATCGCTTCGGCACACCAGTATGTTGAAAGACATTCGCAACTCTCAACAACTCTGATCTTTAGCACACTGCTGTGATGCAGCTATTTAAAAAAGGCATGTTCTCATGGCAACTATATTCAAGACGCTGTAGCACATGGAAGGAGCGTGTGTGCGGCATAACATTGGCATTGTGCCCATGCGATATGACCCAAAATCAATAATAATTAAAACATTGTCACGAAAGTCAAAATGTTAAATAGACTTTACTTGCGCTGCCATAATCAGGATCTGAGGTATGTAATAATGACACTATATGAATGCCAATTCATTCATCTATTATACTTTTAGGTATGATATCATCATAGCATTTGCACTAAATTATTTTAAGAAAAGTGCAATATTTCTATTACATTACACTACTTTACTGTCGGGGGAACGGTTGCCAACCGTTGGGGAAGGAGGACGAGGGATTTACTGAGGAAAAAGGGATGAGCGAACCTTCCAGAAAGGGGGCTCGAGGGATATTAAAGGAGAGAGCACGAGGGGACGGACGCTTGGAGAGAAGCCATCAAAAATCGAAGCCCGGGCCTAGACATAGTGTCCACAATAAAGGCTCTTAGTAAAGCAAGAACATGTGTCGGCGTCACTACATAACTATCTCACGTGCGCTACTCAGAGCTCCATCTCACTGGTGCTGTTATACCTCCTATGCAGTAGTTTCCTTCTCACGGTCTGACTGTCACTCGCTTCGACTGTCACTTATTGTCACGTGTAACTGCGGCCATAATCCGCCAGAGCAACTTCAGGGCAATCGTCACTGACAATAATTGCCGTAGCATTTCTCATTGTAAAATTATCATTGGCCCAAATCTAAAGAATTATGATTGCAGCGACGAACACTGGGTTAGATAAACCTATGTTACTTCATTCCATTAACCAAAGAAGTTGCCATAGTCGCTTGTGGTTAACGCATTGCCCCGAAATTGCCGTATCGTATCATGACCTTCATAAAAGGCTCTTCCAAAGCAAATTAAAAACAACACGTCCTGTGACTACACTGCACGAGGCCTTCCTATTGCCATGGAAACCAACGCATGCCTGTAAACTGCCTCGCATGACCAAGAATTTGTCTTACGATAGATTTAAAAACATAAAGGCGATTGGGATTTTGACTTAATATGTTTAAAAGTACATGGGTAAGTAAAGATCATGATCTACATTTGTATAGCGCCTTATTCCAAGGCTTTTACAGCTATCGGAGAGGAGTGAAGGCTGAGTAGGAAAGCTTTACAGTCGTCGAGCTGAATAAAACGAGGGCGTGAACCAGGAGTTTAGCAGCAGAGAGTGAGATGAGACGGATTTTACGATTATTGAATCTTTGAAAGTGGCGAAATTTTTCAACTAATTTCTTTAGAACTGCTTCTTGTTGTTGTGCTCAGTCTGTTGTCCTTCCGTCGCACCTCCAATTAGCGCGGTTGGCTACGTATGGCAAGTAAGGGTCGTGGCAGAGATTTGTTCAGAGGGAAGAGTTGAAGGTGACCCCGAGGTTTCAACTAGAGGAGGCAGGAGGAGTGAGGGGAGAAAGGAGGAAATTAGATGGTAGGTCAGGATAGAGGGGAGCGGCGAGACGAGAAGGAAATAATTTCCATTTTTTTGGAAGGTTTGATGGAGACACGGCAGCGTGACATCCAGGATTGGACAGTGACCAAGCATACTCTTTGTTTTTTTTCGGTAAAGTCACGTAGGTAAAAAATTATATAAAATAAATTAAGAATGAAAACAAATACACACTTAAGCGTTTGTGCTTTCGCTACGTCTGACACACTTAAGCGTTTGTGCTTTAGCTACGTTGTCTCCACCTGAAGGATGCGTGCGCGCCTGAAACGTCGTGATTTAATGTATTTGTTTAATTTTACTTATTTATTTTATATCATTTTTTTACCTACGTGACTTTACCGAAAAAACCAAAGGGTATGGATCCTTGCAGTCACGAAAACTTCAAATCTAGAAAAAGTGACCAAGAAGTCTGAAATGCGGGAGGCAAGGCCTGGGGTGAAGGAGGGATACAAAAATAAAATCTGGGGTTTGTCGGCGAAGAAGTGATAGGGAAACATTTTTACGAAAAAAACGACATTCCCAGAGGTTGAGATACAGAGGGAAAATAGCAAGAGCCCTGGGACAGACCCTTGTGGGACTCCAAGGGAGGGGAGGTGGAGCGTCTGAAAGAAATGGAGGAAGCGCGTGAGGAGAGCAAGGAATGGAACTGAGCCAGGGGGAGCTGTGGGGGCCGTTGGCCCCCGGGGTCCCTCCCGCCTGCATCCCCCTATTCGTTTACGTTACCCCACCTCCCTATTACCCGCTACGGTTTCGCCGGCATTCGAACGCGACACCCCTACTATTACAGCCTCGCGCCGCGCTCCCACGCTGTGAGCATACGTGCGCACATCATTATCAATCAAACGCCGTGCTCGCAGTATAGCCCTGTGCGGCACGTTACCAATGCGCATCCGTATCCGACACGTAACGAACGTATGCGAGGCACACGCCGACACAACGACTCAAGTTGCCGCCGCCGTGCGCGCGAGATAAACCGTACAACAATGCGCAGCCGATTACGCGCTCGAGCACACGCAAGCTCGCACAAAGCTAACAGCTTCACTGCGCACCGCGGTTTCGCACACGCGAGCGGGGTGCACGCCGACACGACGACTCGTCCCCTCCCGCACTCGCGCGTGCACGTCAACACAAGTATCGTGCAAGGACGACTCTCCTCTCACACGGCTGCGTAGGCACGCCAACACACAAAAGTGCTCTCCCCGGGCGCTAACACACACACCTCCGTACCCGCACCATCGTACAGAGACCACACACCCGCGAATGCAGTGCACGCTAATACCACGTTCAAAAACACCCAACAACACGGTTTTGTTACTACGCTCGAGATTTTATTAACCCTTGTTAACTCACCGAGCCACCCGTGTGTGTGTACGAGCCAGCAAGGCGCTTCCAACCCACTCTCTAGTGGCGTGCAGCCCTATTCTATGCTGCGCTCTCTGTTACACCGCTTTCCTACTCGTCCTTACCCCGAACTAACCTTCTCCTACGGATCCTACTCTCCGCTCTGAGGTGTTGTAAGGCGCGTAATACGATACCGTCTGTAGTCCTAGGTGACCTTGCGGCGCTCAGGTCGTCCTGCAGACGATCCTGCGGCTCGCCCGATGACTCCCTCGTCGTCGAGCCCGTGTCACTACTCCAGAACAAGAGAGTCCCCTACTGCCCCTGCGTTTTCTTTTAAACTATCCACATCAAAGCTAGGCGCCCCCGTCCCGACCGCCTTGGTCTCTCGACCAATCCTGAGCCTAGGATTTCCCGCCCTTTTGCGATCCCGCCGGCCTTTGACCTTTTTGCTAAGCAGCAGCCCCGGGTCCTGATCCTAGCTATCTGCCTTGCTGACCCGTGTTTGTGTTTGTATGCGTTTCTAACTGCGGGGCTCTCTGAGCTCGCCGTGGTCGTGCGATCTCAAATCCGCCCACGGCGCCGCAGTGTTACTTAGCCTGGGAAGGGTCCTGTCCAATTCCCTGGCCCTGAGAAACCGTGGGGTAACCCCCCGAGGGGGCCCTCGGGTAAAAACTCAGGGTAGGTGACCCGACCACAAGGCCCTACGTGGGTGCGGGTGCGTGCTTATGTGGGGGGGGTGATGGGGGGCAGTGCAGTGGTGGAAGCCGGGCGGCTCCCTGGCTCGGCAGAGCGGCCCCGTCGTTGTGGCACCACATAGCCCCCCGGGGTGCCAGTCCCCGTCCCGGGTTGACTGGAGCACCTCGCCTGGGTTGCCCCCACGAGGTATCGCCGCGGGGTCCGCGGGATTCGCCCGGCCCTTGTGGCTGGCCTCGGGGGTGGCGGCTCCGTCTCCTGGGGCTCCGGCGGTGGTCTCCTCCTCCATTCCAACGGCTCCCCTCGGCCTCTGGCACCTGCGGGCTGGGGAACAAACTCAGAGGCTGTGGGGTTTAAGGGTCGCCGTCCTCGTCGCCCCCGGCCCCGCCCGGGGCCCCTCGGAGCCCGGGGCTCCGTGGGGCCCATATACTGCGCGAGGCCCCCGGGTACGGGGGGTGGGGGGACCCCGGGGTTTCGGGGTACTTGGACGGCGGGGCTCCCCCCCTCGGGGGCTGCTCGCCACGGCTTCAGTCGGCGGATGTTGACCACCATCTCCCGGCCCCTCTCTCCTCCCTGAATCAGCACCGTCCATGGTGAGATCTGCCGTCTCACAATCCAGGGTCCTCGCCAGTAGGTGGTCAGCTTCCCCACCTGTCCGGCACCGACGCGGGGAGTGTACAGCCACACCTCGGAGCCCGCAGTGTAGAAGGGGGGCTCCATACGGGGTCGGGCGCCCTGCTCTTGCCGCTGGTGCGCGGCCTCTCCGTGCGGGTAGGCTCGGCCCCTGGTCCCTCGCAGGGTCTCCAGCAAGTGCTCCACGGGGTGGCTCCCTTCCTCCCGTTGCGGCGGAGGGACACCGAACAGCAGATCTGCGGGCAGGCGAGACTCGCGACCAAACATCATTAGGAACGGGGTCTGTCCTGTAGAGGTGTGAACGGCGGTGGTGTAGGCGAACAGGGCATAGGGAAGGTGTTCGTCCCAGTCCTGTTGATTCGCGGCCGCCATGCGTTTAAGCTTCCCGGCCAGAGTCTGGTTCATCCTCTCTACCATCCCGTTCGCCTGGGGGTGATACGCCGTGGTTCGGTCCTTCTGGATCCCGAACTCTCGGCACAGCGCCTGAAATAGTTCGGCCTCGAATTCACTACCCTGGTCGGTAATTACTCGTTCGGGGATCCCGCACTTAAGTACGTAGTTTTCCACGAAGGCCCGGGCCACTACGAGGGCTGTTTTATCTGGGATAGCCACCGCCACGGGGTAGCGGGTGAAGT